TGTGTGTAGTTGCTGACCATGGGGATTGGTGCGATTGTGTTAGAATGTTGTGTGTTTTACGTTAAGGTCAGCCATTAGAATTACAGGTAAGTGTGTGTTGTTAAAGATGGAATTTAAGTCTGTGAAGGGAATGTATGTGTTTGGCCTCGTGTACATTGTGCAAACAATTATTTGGTAGATGATCTGTGTAGCTTGTTTGATTTACTTGATATGATTTCGTGGCTGTCAACTGCTGTGGTTATTATGGCTGGAGACTTATGAATTTGACCTTTTTATCGTATTTTTTTTTGGGGGGGGGGTCACTTTCCATTCTTCTTGATCTTATTCTTCTGGGTCTTGTTCTTTAGGTTCTTGTTTCTTCATTTCTTGTGGTTCTTGTTCTTAACTTCAAGGAGAGCCTCCTTGTAGCTGATCTTTTGAGATGGTGCTTTGGCTACCCTGCGCTCCTCCCTCCACTTGGGACGTTCCCAATCAGAGGAGTGAAGGTTGCCACAAAATGCGCATTTCTTCTGTGTTGTAGAGCACGTGGTGTGCTGGTGCCCCGGTGGTCCTACACGTGGCACAGACCTTACTAGTGCAGCACTTCTTCACAGGATGTCCATATCACTAGCACTTGTAACATCGTGTAGGTCTTGCACCGTAAGGCTTAACTGGGGTGGTCTTCCATCCCAGTTGTACTTCTTCTGGGAGTGTGTTCGGGTAGCTGACTAGGGCCGCATAACTGGTCAGCTTCCTTAGGATGTGAACTTGGTCACCAATCAATTTGGCTAACTCGTCTTCGTCAAGGTGTTCAATTTCGGTGTGGGAGATTACTCCAATCACCAAGTTATCTTCTGTACAAACTATGACCTTGATTGGATTGTAATTGATCCAAAGTGTTTGGCCTTATATGCAGGCCGTGCATGCGCAGTGGTGACTTCGGTAGGCTCCATCCATTCTTTCTTGCCACTCTCTGTGGACTTGTGCTTGCTGGGTGCTGACTGTGGCTTCCGCCCACGGGGGTCTCGGGGTCGTTGCTAGGATCTTCTGGGGGTCTCTGTTGCTTGTGTTGCTGATCATTTACTACTGGCGTCATTGTTTATATACTGGTATGTGCACTATTTGCATACATTTATTGTACTGTATATGTAATTGTCTGCATACCTATATTGTTTATATACAGGTATAATGACTAAGACCAACAATAAGTTATATAAAAATGCACTGGTATAATGTGTATGTGGTTGGTATTGCATATTTACATGAATAATGAATAAGGCCGATAGGTTGTATGAGAAAGCAAATTAATTATTTGTGAAATTGTGTACAGTGTACAGTACACCTTGTAACCATGCTGCCTTCCCAGCAACAAGCTGCATTGTACATCCAATACAACATGTATACATGAGAGCACATTGTGAGTTTCCTTTCTCCACCCCATCCTGAGTGTGAACCAAACATCCTGAACCCCACAAATGGTGACTCCCGGAGATTCGCACTCACACAGGATGGAGGAGAAACTGATCACGCTCCCAGTCTTCAAGCAACGTGGAAGACTGGATTATCCACACAGAAGCAGCTCTCGTCGGCTCTACAACTACTGTCTCTACACCGCAGGTTAGACACCCTAGAGCAGCACTGCTTCTCTAAGCAGACACCAGCTCCTCTTCCTGCCCCAAGCACCACGTCCTACCGACCCCAGCACACCCGTCCTGCCTCAGACGCCGCCCCCGGCCTAGCAGTAACCCCTGCCGCCCCTGATGCGGCCTCTGCTCCTGACGTGGACCAACACACCCGTCCTGCCTCAGACGCCGACCCCGGCCCAGCAGTACCCCCTGCCTCTTCTCCTGACGCGGCCCCTGTTCCTGAGTGCGGACCCACACACCCCTCTTTTCTCCCTCAGGTACTCCCTGCTAATGTCCTGCACCCTGCTGCTGTCGTGGACCCAGCTGCTGTCACGAGCCCTCATCCGCTTCTGCTGACGCAGCCCCTGCTCCTGACCCAGGCCCACACACCCCAGCAGGCGCATCTGACGACTCTGTACCTGCCGTGAGGGAATCACAACATTCATCGCCTCCACACATCCTTTTTCTCCCTCTCTACTCCCACAGATATTGTGTATCTAGACAGTTGTCCCCAGCGACCGGCTCATCCACGCCATCGCCGTTGTCTCACATGAGGCATGCACTGCCCATTCTGCCTCACATGTGCTATGCAACCCTGCAGACAACAAGTCTCCTACACCGCCTGGAGGGAAGGGGGAGTATTGTAGTGGATTTCTCCCCTGCAAACGCTGTTTTTCGCTGCGTAGCCGACCCCACGAATTCCACAGTGTGTGCCTCGTGGTCTAGGTCAACCAGCGCCGCCATACATCACGGAGCGGGGGTCAACTACTAAGCCACGCCTACCCCCCACTATTTAAGACCTGACCTCGTGGTGACCTTGTCATGATCGTGATAACGGCTAACCTGAAAACCTTAAGGATTCATATTATGCTCAAACGTCCACAAAACCTTCTGAGTTCCCCAGTGGAAACGTCCCCCGTTTTCTCTGTTTCCCCGTCTTTGTTTGTAGGGAACTTTGAATATAATCCACGGATTTCGTAGCAGACGCTGTATGTTGGGACCTGTTGCCATCCAACCCTTTGTAATCAATTTAATTTTGCTTTTGATAGCTGAGTCAGAGCATTGTTAGTGAAGATAATAGTAGGGAATGAAACTGAGTTTATAGTCTCAGTTTCAACGTCAGAGGGTACAGTAAATTCATTCATCGGAATAGAAGTAGGTGGACTCCCAGGCCTATTTTGAGTGAGGGCGCCGCGGGTATTTCTACCGTTAGTGAGTGCCCGTCCCTTCACCCATACAGGTCCCTAACGCAGCCTAGGCCGTGTCTGTAGCGTGGAGGTTGTATCCACTATGTCTGGGGAGATGTCCGAGGTCCAGTAGGATCAGTTACCTTCGTGAGACCCGGCCGTCAGACACTTCAGACTACCTATGGCCTCCATAGCTGGCTCGTCTGGCCCTAACGCTCGGCCTGCGAGGTGACCCCGGATCACCAAGCCACACACCACTACCAGCCCCCATCATTGGTGGATGAGTGTCTAACTCAGGAGGGCTATTTGTGTGGTGGGATTAATCCACTGGGATCTCCAGAGTTCGTCGGAAAGTACCCCATGGTGGCTGGACCCCATGGCTGTTGCTTGAGTATCACTCCTGACGACTGAAGGTGGCAGTGGCAGTTGCCCTGGTCTTTATGGTGCTAAGTGACTATAAGAGTTGTGTGTTATTGAGTATGTCCACCCAGTAGTGGTGTATGTTGAGCCTGAGGGCCTAGTACTAGATTTCGTCTGTTGGTACAAATAAATTCTTTCTCCTAATTTCATATTAATGTTTAAATAAATTTTGTATTTGTATATTGTGTCTATTATTTACCTACAGTATTTGCCGTTATTTCTTCCCTATTGCTCGATACTATCATTACATCTACCCACGAGCCTCCTCTCGTCACGCTACCAATGGTAATAAGTATGAGAGTAAAAGGAATTGTTACTGGCACACAGAGGCCCTCATAAATGGTGGCAGTAGTGGCCCTCATAACCTGTCTCTTTCTACCTACACCAACCAGCCAGCAACACCTCCTCCTCCGCCGCTGCCTGGCGGCCCTCGCTCCTCCTCCGCCTGCCTGGCGGTCTTCGCTCCCGCCGGCGAGCATGACGACCCACAAGCTGGTCCTCCTCTGAGCATCCTCACCAACCAGCTCTCTCTACATCACGCTTGTAACCATGCTGCCTTCCCAGCAACAAGCTGCATTGTACATCCAATACAACATGTATACAGAGAGCACATTGTGAGTTTCCTTTCTCCACCCCATCCTGAGTGTGAACCAAACATCCTGAACCCCACACCGGCACAACACTTTGCAGGTTGTTCGAAGAGATTTTAGCTCTCACTCCAAAAAAGTTTGCCCTGGCAGTTTTTTGAACTTGTGGCTTCTTCATCCTTAGGTTAAGCCCTGTTTTTCCATAGTATAGTATTTATAAAAAAAACCAATTGTCATTCATCCTTCTCCGACACCAAAAAAAATGTAGCTTAATAAATAGTAGTAGTTTGCAGAGTTGCCAACTTAGCGACTTTGTAGCTAGATCTAGAGCTTTTTGTTTTTTTCTAGCGACATTTTAGAGCGATTTGCGACTTGTCGCAAATCTAGAGATATCCACAGAAATCTAGCGACTTTCTGGATACTTTTGGACTGTCCATGAAAACTCAGTTTTCCTAATTTCGAGCCATAATATATAGCAACGGGGTTACAGGGACAATAAATAATAAGAAAAGTTTAATACATTTGAACGGGTCGTGGTACAGAAGGAGGGACACGTCTATTTCCTGATCACTTGATGTCAGCCCGTCCATGCATTTAACACCCTAAAATTGTGGTCAGAAGTGGCAAATTACAGAGATGCGACCGGTGAAAACCCTTACCATGATCTGGCTGAAATTGCACTCGCTGCCTTATCTCTTCCGCATTCAAACGCAGATGTAGAGCGCACATTTAGTAATATGAACTTTGTGAAATCAAAATTGCGCAACAAAATGAAACTATCGACATTAAAGGCAATTCTTACAATAAAGTATGGGTTAAAAAGACAGAACACCTGTTGTGCAAGTTATGAACTTCCTAGTGATATTTTAAGAAAGATAGGGACTGTGGAGGCATACAGTTACAAGAGAACCTGAACCAAGCACTTCACATGCTTCCAGCTCTACATTTGTTCACACTGCCGACGACTACGGAGAGGACTGGGATGCAATTACTATTGAATAATAGGTAAGTGTGCACATTAAACTTTAAAAAAAATAATTTTTATTTTTACATAATGCACTTTATTTATACTCCGTCCATTATAGTCGGCATTATGAAAATATTATTTGCATGGAAGATTTAGCGACATTTGGCTACTTTTAGGTACCAGCCTAGCGACATTTGAAAATCCGAGTTGGCAACCCTAAATGTATCACTTGCCAATTATCGCCTAGCGGCGAATTGACGCCATACAGAGTAAGGAGCGCCACCTCCCTTGTGTACATATCTGTTTATCTAGTAAATAGAACCTACGAAAACTCTACAGGTGTTTGTGTTCGCTTCTGTAGATAGAACTTGATACCCAGAACACATGCATGGTGCAGTGTGTCATTATACTGGACCATTATACAAGTGAAGTGTAAAGTTTGTGGCAAGACCGGCTTATGGACCCCTGCTTCAAAGAATTTATAGCAACTTTGAGCAGTGTCAGTGACAGTGATTTTCTGTGAAGTGTATAGTGCATTGTGTGTTTAGTGCCATAACTGTGTGACCTTGTTCTAAAGGATTTCCAAGGTGTAAGGCATGTTCAGGGCATGCGTGAGTAGAGTTCATATCACCCTCCTCTGAGAGGGTGACTGACTGTGATCGCCTCCTCTCCCTCACAGCGAGACACTGCTTGAGACGCGCGCACACACACACACGTACGAACACATTGACTGCGGCCATTCCATTATATATATTTTATATATATAATCTACTTATCTGTGCATTTAATTAATTTTTTGTCTCAGATCTTGTTTATCCGACGGGCTGACCGGTCAACATTGATTTAATACACAGTACACAGATTAAGTTATTATGTCTCGTGCCTTACGCAGTCGTGGAGCCAACGCCTGGATGAGTCAGTCGGATGACAGCTCGGCAGAGATGGATGACCAGGCTGAACAGGACGCTCCAGCTCCCACCACATCGCGCAGCCCTTCACCTCGATCTCCAGCGTTGTCTTCAGAGATAATTGCTTTAATGAAGTTTATGAGGGATGAAAGGCGTCACGACTTTGCTACAAGACGTGTGGAGGACGAAGAAAGAAGGCAAGCAGAGGCAGAGAGAGACCACCAACGGAGATTGGAAGACAGTGCACGGTTTGAAGCTTCTGGGTGTTGTATATAACCGTACCCTTATGCTTCTGGGTGTTGTATATAACTGTACCCTTACGCTTCTGGGTGTTGTATATAAGAACATAAGAAAATAAGGAGTCTGCAATAGGCCGGTTGGCCTGTGCATGGCAGCTCCTGTCGAGAGTTACTACCACTCTATCATCCATGAATCTATCTAGCCTCCTTTTGAAACTTTCCAGAGTTCCCGCACTTACTACAAAGTTGCTAAGCTTGTTCCACTCGTCCACCACCCTATTTGTGAACCAGTTTCTTCGTATCTCCCTCCTAAACCTAAACTTATCCAACTTAAATCCGTTGCTCCGAGTCCTATCCTGCTCGGATATTATAAGAACTTTATCTATATCCCCTTTACTGATTCCTTTCACCCACTTAAATACTTCTATCATATCTCCCCGCACTCTTCGTCTTTCTAGGGAATGCAAGTTAAGTTTCTTTAACCTATCCTATGCTTCTGGGTGTTGTATATAACTGTACCCTTATGCTCCTGGGTGTTGTATATAACTGTACCCTTATGCTCCTGGGTGTTGTATATAACTGTACCCTTATGCTCCTGGGTGTTATATATAACTGTACCCTTATGCTCCTGGGTGTTGTATATACCTTTGTTATACAAATTGTTTTTATTTTGTTTGGACCCTTTGTAATTCATCATAGCAAAATTTCTTATTTCAGAGTTTGACCTTTTGTTGTTCAGGTCAAGAACGGTGAAGAAAAAAGTCAACCGGAATTTACGAGTTAATATAAATGATTTTAAATGAGACATTGTAACGGAAGAAAAAAAAACACATCAACTAGGTTTCACTATAAGATAAATCAGCTGGTGATATTCCCACAACTTCTCCACAACCCAACAATCTCCACCACAACCCTGCAGCCTCCACCATAGCCCTGCAGCCTCCACCACAACCCTGCAGCCTCCACCATAGCCCTTACTCCATAAAGATGAGCCGGTCGTTGAGTAAATTGAAGCTGGTCCTGCAGGCCGGTGCTGTGGCGACCTTTTCTTTAGGCTTCCTCGTCTTGCTACGGAAAACACGAGGTAGGTTTTTTCCTCACTCACTCACCTCACGTCTAATAGGCTTTTTTTTTCCATTATAACAACAACAACAAATGACCTGTTCTGATGTATAATTGCACCTGGCTATTAGAGCGGACTACACTATATGATGATATTTAGTACTTTACCAAGTTTATAAAGGGGAAGGGCGGAGTCTTTGAGGGGTAGGGCTTATTTCACCTGACGATTACACAACAAGAGGGAGGGGGGAGGTAAGGTTAGGTTACGATACGTTATGATAGATTTGGTTAGGTTAGGTAAGGTTAGGCTAAGTGTATGTTAGGTTAAGGTTCATTAAGCTAGGTAAGATTAGGTTAGGTGTATACTTGGTTAGGTTAGCGTTAGGGTATTTAATCCTCCGGTGAAATAAACTGGGGTGCCTAATCTTCATGTCATCCTACTTTTTACAGCTTTGGGTACAGTACTCTATCAAAGGCTTTCTCATGTTCAACGCCATCTACAGTATACCGATGCCGTTCTTTTCTCATCTCTTTTGCAACTAACACTAGTACTGGCTAGTGATAGTTGTGAGCAGGTCTGTGCCCTTCTGAGGGCCGAGATAGTGAAGGTCAAGGACGAAAACTTTAAATTAAAGGAAGTGATTGTGAGGATGAAGGAGGAAGACACGAGACAAGGAAAACCCGTGTCTGAGGAGAGCAATGACCAAACTGGTGGTATGTAAAGACACCAATGAAACGACAACGGCTGTGTTCTAACTCTTTTAGTCCTTTGATAGACGAATTGGACGGTAACATAGTCAGGGACAGGGCTGACAAGGAAGGTGCGAAAACCTTAATTGTTGGTGATTCCCAGGTACGGTACCTGGATAGAGCTTTTTGTGGTAAAAATTAGAATAGGATAAGGGTGTGTTTGCCAGGAGCTGGGGTGGGGGATATAGTTGACAGGATGGACAATATCTTGTCTGGAGGCAATGAGATTGGCCGGTGTAGGAGTGAGGAGCTCCTTGATAAGTTGAAGACAAACAGGAACAGGTTAAAGCATCTAAATTTACACTCTCGAGAGAGACGTAGAGTGAGGGGCAATATGATCGAGGTGTATAAATGGAAGTCTTGGCAGGGCTAAACAAAGGTGATATAACAAAGGAACTCAAACTATCCAACCAGGAGCGAACTCGAAGCAATGGTTTTAAATTAGACAAATTTAGATTTAGGCGCGAGATAGGAAAACATTGTTTTGAAAATAGAGCAGTGGCTGAGTGGAACAAGTTACCAAATATCACTATTAACTCGAATACGCTGGATAGCTTCAAACATAGGTTGGATGGATATATGAGCGATAGGGGTTGGGTGTAAACAGGACTGTCCAATATCGACCAATTGGCCCGCTGCAGTTTCCTCTATTCTTATATCTTGAAAACGAATAGCGAGTCCATTGTCCATGACAGCTCTTTCAGGCAGCAGAAAACTTCCCCATGTATCTCTTCCACAAAGGGCATTCATACACCACTAAGCTCTCCTGTACAGTTCATATATGAATTTCTCCTACACTAATCATCTATCACGTTCACCAACATGGAGGTAATAAGCTTAATATATACACTTAGCATTAGGTGTACAGTACACGTAATCTAATAGGTATGGAAAGGAGGGAGGGGTAGAGAGGTGGCAGGGGGATGACAAACTTTGCAATCACGCGAGAAAACATTATTATTATTATTATTATTATTATTATTATTATTCAGGTGGACCAGGCTGTGGTCGAATATTTTCAGGTGATTTGGCCTCAGTCCACGTGGTACAGTATAGTCAGCTACCGTTAGTCCACGTGGTACAGTATAGTCAGCTACCTTTAGTCCACGTGGTACAGTATAGTCAGCTACCGTTAGTCCACGTGGTACAGTATAGTCAGCTACCTTTAGTCCACGTGGTACAGTATAGTCAGCTACCTTTAGTCCACGTGGTACAGTATAGTCAGCTAACTTTAGTCCACGTGGTACAGTATAGTCAGCTACCTTTAGTCCACGTGGTACAGTATAGTCAGCTACCTTTAGTCCACGTGGTACAGTATAGTCAGCCTACTTATAGTACGTGGTACAGTATACCTTTAGTCCACGTGGTACAGTATAGTCAGCTACCTTTAGTCCACGTGGTACAGTATAGTCAGCTACCTTTAGTCCACGTGGTACAGTATAGTCAGCTACCTTTAGTCCACGTGGTACAGTATAATCAGCTACCTTTAGTCCACGTGGTACAGTATAGTCTTTTAGTCCACGTGGTACAGTATAGTCAGCTACCTTTAGTCCACGTGGTACAGTATAGTCAGCTACCTTTAGTCCACGTGGTACAGTATAGTCAGCTACCTTTAGTCCACGTGTACAGTATAGTCAGCTACCTTTAGTCCACGTGGTACAGTATAGTCAGCTACCTTTAGTCCACGTGGTACAGTATAGTCAGCTACCTTTAGTCCACGTGGTACAGTATAGTCAGCTACCTTTAGTCCACGTGGTACAGTAGTCAGCTACCTTTAGTCCACGTGGTACAGTATAGTCAGCTACCTTTAGTCCACGTGGTACAGTATAGTCAGCTACCTTTAGTCCACGTGGTACAGTATAGTCAGCTACCTTTAGTCCACGTGGTACAGTATAGTCAGTTCCACATGGTTTTGACGAGTGTCTTCTCCGCCCCTCCCATGGTCTAACACCTAACTATCGGCACTTGTTTCCATTCTTTTCGAGTTGGTATTGTTGTTACTGTGTGTTTATCATGGTGAGTTGATCATATTGGTTGTCGTGAAGGCTAATGGTGTTTTCTCCTGCAGATGCTCCACCGCAGTTTGAGGACGAGTACTTCTCACCTCTCATGTCCGCCTACCGTGACGCTGTTCTGACACCCTCCCCAACCACTCCTACATGCAGGTGAGTACACACACACACACACACACAGAGCAGGTGGCTCAGAGGGTGTAAAGTTAAGTTATTTAAGCCCACCTGAAAGATATAAGAGAGACTATATCAAGTATTAAATCATTACCGGTACAGTATTGAGACACACCAAACCCCCGGCAGCTTGAGGCCAAAAGTTACCATCCACTCATTCACTGATTTATTCATTCACTCAATGAGAAATGTTGAATAGTGTTCACTCTTTGGCTCATAGAAATTATATATATCTTGCGCAACATTTTTTTATGAGTTTGTTGTATAACTCATTAGGTTAGGTTAGATTTGCTGTATTGAAATCAGGTATTGAAATAAAAGTATCTGTGAAATGCAGATGGGACTATATTATAAAGTATTCACCTCACCCCTCACTCTTACCCCCCATTTTGTCTCACACAACTACCATCAACTGCTCGTTAACACACCTGTTTCTCTCCCTCAGCTTCAGGTCAGGTGAGGTGCCCACCTTTCTCTTGTGGTCAGAACCTTTCGACGAGAAATTTTGGGATTCCCAGTTGACCCATATCAAGAAAGGCCTGTGTCCTAAACCCTGTAATTTCACCTTCAACGTGTCCCAGGTATAGTAGTGTGGAGGTACAGTAGTTTGGAGGCATATAAACAAATAGATAGACAAACAGATAAACAGGTAAATTATTCAGTAAAATCGTCATACAAGTTTACATTTAGCCCATCATGTACAGTCGCTCAAAAAAGTATCTGAAAAATATTGTTCATGTCAACATGACACATCGGACGGATGTTTTGGGGAAATGGTAAGGGACCAGGCGTAAAGGTGGTAGACCAGCATATCACAATGGTTGCTATGTAATAAATAATACGTTTCCTGCCGTTTGTCATTAACGTGTTTCATATGAATATAATTAATATGGTTATATCAACAGGGAATGACAGTCTAAAAAGACATCATCCATGCTTAAATGCTGACTGTATCCATACGTAGCATTTGGTATGCATACATGTATTAGATATCAGGGTATGTTATATGAATAGGTAAGGTAAACAGTAATGGCATCTCACGTTTATTGAATTAATATTTGGTGTACCCACCTCCCGCGTCCACAACACTATTCAAGCGCCGAGGCTGGTGCCACCAACTCTGCTGGCAGATGTTGTCCTTCCCACGCAGGTTTTCCCACACCTGCAAGGCTCAATTAATGACCGTAGCGCGACTGCGAACACACACACACTCACACTGTAATGGTTAGAGGAGTTGAGTGAGAACGTTATGTGGCGGTTAGTCACACAACCCGGAACTTGTTTGTCATCCTCGTGAGAGTTGAATGAACCTCAACTACCACGTCTCCACCCACTCATCCAACCACCCACCACTCATCCTAACACCCACCACTCATCCACCCACCCACTACTCATCCAACCACCCACTACTCATCCAACCACCTACCACTCATCCAACCACCCACTACTCATCCAACCACCCACTACTCATCCACCCACCCATCACTCATACACCCACCCACCACTTATCTACCTAGCCTACATCCACCGCTCATCCACCCACCCACCATCCATCCACTCACTTTACACCCACCACCCATGGTCACCGCCGGCCCCGTAATCCTCAACTCACGCCCAACGTCCACCCACTACCAGTCACTAATACTTTACTACTTTTATTTTTAATTATGGCCGCCAACTTCCCGTATGGCCATACCTTCACCATTTTTTACTGAACTATCCTAATACAAAAACATCTACCCTACTACTACTACTATTACTACTACTACTACTTTAAATGTTATACTACTACTACTACTACTAATAATAATAATAATAATAATAATATCATTCAGGTATACAGTACAATATTTAAATTAGTTACATCATTTATGAAATATAATGGTTTATGCTACAATATATAACATATAATAAAATGACTGTAACTGGTGTTTTCAAGATGTAATGTACTACCTTGTACCCAGAGTAGTGTAGTACAGTGGCTGTTACAGGTGGCTCGTGTCGACGCTGTGGTGGTATACCTACGAGGTGTACGAAGCAAGCAGCGAGTGTTGGAACAACTGGCGCCCAGGGACCCTACCCAACCCTGGATCATCACTACCTTCGAGGCACCGCCCAGGGCCAACAGCATCCACCATACAGATTACCGCTCCCTCAATGGTGTCTTCAACCGCACGATGCTCTACCGCAGAGATTCTGACGTCATGGTGCCTCATGGATTCATCGTGCGTCGTGATGAGGCAGAGCTGCTGCCTGCCTCGTGGCGTATCCCTCCACTGCCACACCCAGGAGACTGGCATGCACGCAAGCCTATTGTCGCTTTTATCTCCAACTGCAAGGCCAAAAGCGGCCGTCTGGAGTATGTACACGCCCTTCAAAAACATATTCCTGTTGATGTCTACGGCAGGTGTGGTACTCTAAAGTGCGGCGAATCAATGTACGTCAAGCATCAGTACGACCCGACAAAATATAATTGTTTTCGAAAAGCTGGCGAGACTTATCTCTTCTTTCTAGCCTTTGAGAATTCCCTCTGCACTGACTACGTCACAGAGAAGCTCTACAATTTCCTGTTTTACCCGATGGTGCCCATAGTTTTCGGCTCGGCCAACTACTCAGCTCTCCTCCCACCTAACTCCTACCTCGATGCTCGACAGTACGCACCAAAACAACTCGCTGCTAAACTCGAGTTCTTGGCGAATAACCCTGAGGTATTTCACACTTGTTTATTCCGAGTATGTTAGTGACGTACACCTAACTTAAGAAACCAGTTTCTTTCAGTGTCTTTACTGTGAGTGTGCCTGAGAACAGTATATACCTATATTACAGGAGTACCAGAAGTACTTGGCCTGGCGAGATTACTACCAGCCTTCCACAGTTGGCGGGGAGCGCACACTGTGTCACCTGTGTGTTCGATTACACGATCCCAAGTTTTATGAACATCAGGTTATAGAAGACTTTTATGACTGGTTCATGAGCAGATCTGAACCTATAGATGGTCACGGAAGATGCCAGTAAGTGGACAAATACCCACAACAGCTGGGCTTCTATTCCATCTCATTGGTTCAGGTGAGACCTTTATAGACTACGAGTTGAATATATTAATTGTTTTGTGTCAACAAGTCATGGCTAAAAACGTTGTGTCCATTTTGACGACTCCCGTATTATTATTATTACTATTATATACTGTACAATTATTATTATTATTATTATTATTATTATTATTTTTATTATTATGAACCGTAAATATTATCCACATTAACAGAGTAACAACGGGAAGCCTGCAACAGAGACAACTGAAGGCCATAGTCAACAGAGAAGTGTTGTGAGTGCTTGCATTTATTTATCTTACGGGACACTATTCATCATTACCAATTCAAGAGTCATCAAGAAGCTTAATATTGGTAACAGTGATTAAAGACTCGTGCAATATTGCCAGATCAAGATTCCTCGAGAGGTTGTGTTTTATCAACAGTGATTATGATGGTAACTGGTAAGATTCATTCATAGTTAAGTAGTGAAACGTTATCATCTAAGACTTGTCAGCGTCCCGGGAATCTTAACTTAGGCGCCCTTAATACATACAGTTCAAATACAATTGTTATATTTTATTTCATGAGGAAAAATTAAAAAATTAAGAACAAAAGAGTTTATACAGGTAAATTCATTACATCACATGTAACTCACTTCAAACCCAGGGAAACCAGCTGAAACCAAATGACCAACCAAATATTGGCTTCCCTGTGGCATACCTGAGGAGCCTAGGGGTGGACTATGGGGTACTGTAGGGGTAAGTTCATTTCAAAGCGGGAAGTGGGTATCTTGAGTGCATTTCAAGACAATAATGCAATTTATATATAGAATAGGTTAGATAGAAAGTAATTTCGTTGTAATGGATAATAATTGATTGAGAAAAGCATTACAGGTTACTAGAAAATAAAATTTCACATTCATACATCGGATATGATCTATACAAATGCATCAAATGGAATGAAGTAAGACAAAAGAGTAAATATTTCATTGTTGGTACAATTAAGGATGCACCGGAACTTAGTGCCGGCCAGAATCTCAATTTTTATGAAGTTTGGGTTCCGGACGAAACTTTAGAAAAATAACCTGCCGGAACCGGAACATTTTATTGTGATATTGGTGACTGTTTCATGAATTAAAACATGTTTTTATTATTGTTATTATGTTCAAGACTTTTGACCCCGATTGTACATTTAGATAATAATAATAGTTATTTATTTACTTTATATATTTAATTAACCAATAAAAAGTAGTCTGTAAATGTATTAAAATGGGGACAGTGATGGACATATCTCTTCAAGTTGTGTAAACACTGCGTATGCTACTATTACTGATAAGAGGAAATACCGTGGGGTACGTGATATTGGTTCACACTCAGAATGGGATGGAGAAAGGAAACTCACAATGTGCTCCCTCTATACATATTATATTGGATGTACAATGCAGCTTGGGGGGGTGGCAGCGTGAGTCCAAGCGTGGTGTAGAGAGCTGGTTGGTGAGGGTGCTCAGAGGAGGACCAGCTTGTGGGTCGCCATCCCATCCCATCCCATCCTGAGTGAACCCAGACAACCAATACCCCACACACCTTTACGTACAGCCTTCCTTTACCAAGTATTGCCAGGTAAAATGGCGAGCACAAGACCCAGGGTGGGGTCGGTGCATCTTTGGCTGACTGCACACTCACAGATGGGTATCAATACAAACAACGGTAAACAGTAAATAAGATAAAAAAAAGACTTTATAGCCCAGCAGCTCATTTTCACTGGAGCAATTTATTAAAAAATCTACGTAGGCATTCGTGTGTACCACCGGCAAGGCCGTGGGCTCGTAACACGTCTTGCCCGTGGCGCCCACACGAGAATAACCTCCTTCTTTCCTCACACAGCCAAACTGTGGAATGCTTTGCCTTCTTCTGTGTTTCCATACTTATACAATTTGTCTCACTTTAAATAGCTGGTTTTCCGGCGTCTTTGTGGTGTAGATTAACACAGTATAACATTTTTCTTCTCTATTTTCAATTTCTTTCTGTTCTTTATTTTCGCCCTCCAGGCCCAGTTGTGGGTCGTTTGACCTGTGCCCGGGTGGACTAATTCCCGTAAAAAAAAAGAAAAAGAAAAAAAAAAGCCGTTTCCTCCACCAATGGTAAGAGTGAACGCGTGTCACTCGTTTGTTTGTTGACACTTTACCCGCGTTCTGAACTTCTGACAGTCCACGGCTTTATCTCCGTTACAAAATACCTACATTGAAATTATATGAATAATCATTAAAATTAAATACATATATATTGTTTATAATGTTTAAAATTATAATAACTTAATTATAAAGGAAACGTACCAAAGGTGTCGAGTACAATATATATAAAGAGAGAGAGGTGAGCACTCGGCTGAAAATGTTAAGAAGCTGGGTTTAATATACGTTGAGTGCCACTGTTAATGTTTTATAGTCTCAGGTAAGGGTATATAAAGACATGATTCACGAGAGGTGCCACTGTATCATTATAAGGCTTAATATCTGAAGTAAGTTTTTCTATAAGTTTCTTAATGATGTATTGTGTTGAATTGGAACGAGAGACATGTTTTGGTGGAATGGTGTGATTGTAAAGAATGCCAAGTGGATATTTTACCAGGAACCAAACCAGTGCTATTGTCAACATGAATTCAACATGCTGGATATCTATATTATCAACATAAACCAGATATGGTGACAGACACACCTCACCCCTCTCATGTCTTCCAGCCTCCCTCAACCTCAGAATTTTAAGACCATAAGCACTAACATATACATTAAAATTGAGATATGATTTATTACTGTGCATAAATTTTAAATTGAAACTAATCATCCTATTCTAAACCAAATTTGTGTATCGAGGTGGTTATACTGTAGTAGGTGGTTGTAATGTGGATCAGGTGTTGGCCATAATTACATATGATAAATATTCGTTTTATACCAAACTTGATTTTTTGGTAGATTTTTACTTTCGGACAACACGGTTATCTTAGGAATTTTATCGTTGTAATCAAAAGTTTTTAGACAATTCTAAGACACTTTTCTTCTATAACGTTTTCCTCGCAATTGACCTAACCTAATCTCTTAAGAATTGTCAAGATGGTAAATATTCGATTAATGGCTATGGCTCCTTTTTGTTATGAGAATAGTGTTTTTTGGTGTATTTAGATGTATTTCACTCAAATCTGACCTTTATTTTTTTGTCCAATGAGCAAATTAAAAAATATATATATTAATATACTGTATATATATATATATATATATATATATATATATATATATATATATATATATATATATATATATATATATATATATATATATATATATATATATATATATATATATATATATATATTTGTTTTATTTTTTTGACAAAATTCACTCATGTCCACAAGAAATGAAAGTCACATTTGAATGAACACACCTAGATACACCCCCCAAAAAAACTATTCTCATAACAATTTCAACTTCCAAATCACTGTTGAAACCTAACCTTACCTAACCTAACCTAACCTAGATTAAGAAACAAATACGAAAATCTTGCCGCAGCCATTAAACGAATATTAACCGTCAAAACTACCACCATTATAGTAAAGGTAAAACTCCTAAGATTCCTGTGTTGTCCGAAAGTAAAATACTGTACAGTGATTTTCTATTATCAGAATAGTTTTTTCTTGTGCGTTTTGATTTGAATGACTGTGACCTTTATTTTTGGGGTAATTCTTATTTAATGAGATACAAGGTCCATAATATGCACAAAGTAGGCAGAGCTTTGGAAATGACGGAAACTGTGGGGTTAAAACGCACAAAAAGCGCCAAACAAAACCTTGAAGGACTGACCTAACCTTTTCTAATGTAGGAAAGCCCTAGTTCTAAAAAAAAAAAAAAATTAACCGATAGCAGGGGAAAAAGTGATTCCATTATTGTTTTCACATGTTTTTGGAGTTTAGGTCACGAGGGAGCCATAGCACGAATGATTATCGATAGATGAAATTTGTACGCATGCTTAAATATCCCTAGAGATTTGAACTCTCCTCTTACTGGTCAAAGCAGATCATGTAAAGTTGACGGTCAAAGACATTTGAATATAATATTCCGTGAAAATGGGTTTAGTGAACTTAAAATCCATCAATACTGTTGTATTTTGGTTGTGTCTAGATCAAGTCCACTAAACATAATCACAATTCGCAGCATACGAAACCAGGTTCATAGAAACGGTGATTGCTCGTCCATTGGATAAATAAGGTAAGAATTTTGTTGAAATGAGTTGCAATATACGGTAGGGAATGTTAGGTCCTCAAAAGCTCTGTTTTGTTTTTGTGTGGTTTAACCCCATATTTTCATCTTATCTTCAAAGCCCTGCCCACTTTAAAAGGGGTAATACTGTATTCCATAGGTAAGCTTTAGCCCCCAAAATAATTTCATTTTCATTCAAATCAAACCAAACACATGAACTAATTTAGTGATAAAAGATACAGTTGGGCATAAACAGAATTTTTAACTTACATAGTATATGGCATTTCACCATAGACCATAAAAGCTTGATTACCTCATGAACATGACCTAAACTACCTAACCAAGCAAGCCTAACCAACCTAACCACAAACACTAGTTTTATTGTATTCTAATATTCTAGAAAATAAACTGAAAAACAGTGCTAAGATATATGATAAACGACTGAATTTCTGAAGTACAACCCGGCTATGTAAAAGGAAGGTTCATAGGAAGGGTGGGAGTCAAACCTGAAAGCTTGTGCACAGAATATACAAGTCACCTGATGGTTGTGGGTTATAAAATGGAATTTCAGAATCAGTTCCTTAATTTGTTCATCTTATTATTTTACTGAATTCATTGATTTACCTGATTATTCTTTGAATGATTTAAGATTATATTTTTGTGTAATTATACATTTCTGACTTTGTTTAGTACAAAGGCTTTTTATCAATTTCAATAGATAAACCTTGAACTTATTTTGTCAAGATGAAGAATCATTAATTCTCTTTCTCTGGTATTTTGAGATCTGTTTGTTGTTTGATACTGGACAGAGGTAATTCAGCAGCCTGATTCTTGAATTGTTTATTCCTTTTTGACTGTAAGGCAGGTTTTCCAGAAGCTTCCCCCTTGAAAGTGTACATCAAAATCTGTTTAGGAAAACATGAGAAATTATTGTAGTTCCTTTTCATTGCCATGGCATTATGTTAGTGCCTAGTCATTCAGTATTTTATAAAGCTGACTGAGAGTGTTGTCTTGTTCAGTAGACTTACCATGCCCCTGTCTGGACGTGATGCTGTGGTTCTGTGTGTGTTGGTGTGCTGTGTGCCGCTGCAGCACTGGCTAACACAGCATTCATCTGTCACCCCAGACGAGCGATCAGCTGAGGTGTACAGGCTGGTTGAATACGCTCGCTTTGTGGCACAAAAGTGGCTCTCAACAGCTTCATGGAAGGATTGGCTCCTCAGTGTTCAACTGAAGTATACGACTAATGGTACTTTTCCCTATTGTTGCTTTGATTCAAAATGAAAAATGAGGAATGTGTGATATGTTTGTATGTTATGACATTTGAATATACAGTAAAAGTAACTGCTATTGCTTTATCTTCCAATTTTTCTAAAGTTTATAATACATTGCCAGAGTTAGAGGTACAGTATAAAACTCACTCACAAGGTTTCTCCATCAGTAGATGTCCACTCAGAGTTTTAATGTGAATAACAAACATTTAATTCATATGAAATCCACATTGTAGCTTCACAACTTACGATTTTCAGATTATAGTCACTGGTACAACTTGGACGATGATGACCCAGAAGGTGAGTGTCCTGCCGTTGAAGTGTGGAACTACCTCTTTCCTGACGGTGCTTTTGGCATGTCCCCTAAACCTCGCAACGTCCGCCCGGAAGGAATGAAGTGGCGCATTGGCCAAGTTGTGAGGCACAAGATCTGGGGCTATAAGGCTGTTATTTTTGGCTGGGATCCCAAGACTAAGGTAGGCATTTTTTTTCTTCATATATGTGTTCAGAAAGATCAGATTCTTTAAAAGTTGTGTTTATGGCAGTTCTGTAAGATGACCAACACATGTACAGGTACAGTGTTCAGTGGGAGGTGGTTAATCAAGGTATGGTTCTAAAACTCCTTGTGATAAACTCATTTTTGCTAAGATTGTTAACATTTAAGTGGGAGAAATTAGTACAAGACTAGAATATTATCCTAATATATATATATATATATATATATATATATATATATATATATATATATATATATATATATATATATATATATATATATATATATATATATATATTCATTAGCCCAATAAAGCACGCGGACTTCTACATACAATCAACACCTCAACCCACCAGGATTCGAACCCACGGCACACAAGCCTATGACTGTGACCGGGGAACGCTAACCACTGGACCACCAGGATACTAAAAGCAGTCCTAGACTTTGTTATATTTCACACAAAGCCTGTTCAACGAGCTTATGGCACCGTGAACCTCTAATGGGGACCACCCGTATCACTTAGGTGGTCAGAGTAACGTTTTACCAAATCCGGCTTCGAAACACGTGGTGGGTTTTATTTACTTGGTGACCTTTTTTTTTTACTTTAATTTTTTTGTATTTTGTCATTTTATTTCTTCTTTTCTCTTAAATTAAGTGATTTTAGATGTATATGAGGACTTAGTCTCTAATATAGTGTGATTTTAAAATTTTTTCTGTAAGTATGGTATGCACATAGCATGTGTTCCGACATAATGTACAAATCCGACTTAAGAACGTCATCCGGAACAGAATCCGTTCATAACCCGGGGACCCCCTGTAAGTCCTGTAATCGAAATAAAGAATATTTATTAACAAACTCCAACATTAGATATTGAAAATACAGGAGAAAACAGTCTTGTCCAGATTAGTACAGTGGATTTTACCCTATACTGTACCAGTGTGTGTGAGAGAGGTGCTAGGAAGTTCGTAAAGTTAATCCTCTTTACTATAAGATACATTATTTACCTCCCTTTAAGTGCTTAATCAAATCCTGTGTTGTTCAACCTCTTTCATCTCTATTTCGCTGTTTGGCATATCACTAGCTAAATGACAAAGGCCTCATAAGCCATAAAGCAAAACTAAAGCCAAGGAATCCCCATTTGGCTGAGTGAAATTTAATTTTTTTTCTTTTTTTTATTGAGAGAAAAAATGTGATGATTGAATGTCAGAGCTTCACCAAGTTTGAGGTTAGGTGATTTAAGTCACATGATGCAGTAAGGAATTTATCTTGGTGATCATTTTATTTTTTTATTTTTTATTTTTTTTTAGACTGTTTTGTAGTAGATATTTCAACCATGTGTTGCTAACATGGCCTCTGTTCTTGGCCATATACTGTGGTTTATAAGTTTGGTTGTTTGGTTCTTACAGGCACCAGAAGAATGGATACAGAAGATGCACCGAGAGAACACAGTGAGTGCCATGACTTATTAATTTTTTATATCTAAAGAATTAAAAGTTCAGAAACATAATATTTTTTTATATACAGTTTTGCCATATCTCCCCTGACCGTGTCTCTCTCATCACTTTGAGTTTTATCGGAGGAGCATCAACGAGAATCGGGCAGAAGGAAGTGGGGCTCTACACTCAAGACAGTATAGGTTTATGGGAGAGATCTTATTCATAAATTAAGGAAAGTTGCTCTTAAAATGATTCATGTGTGACTAGTATTAATCCTTTCACTACAGGGATGCCATATTTAATATTTTATTTGACTAACGGAAGACGATTTTATTGGTCTCGGAGGGGAACCCATAAAGAAGGGGTTAGCATTACTCAAGAGGTCTGAATGCAAAATTAACCTCTTATTGACCTTATTAATGTACTGTATTTAGTTATCGATTTATTTTTTATTTTTATTTTTCATAGCACTGGAGAGAGCAGCCGAATTATGCTTTACTGGTGGACACTGACCAGAAGGATATTGTACAGATTACCTATGTTCCCCAAGAAAATATATCTCCAGTTACAAATCAGGAGGTAGGTTTTAGCATAAGCTGTTGTTATTGTGGTGTTTGCAGTATAATTATTAGCCTTAACTTAAGTGACTGGGAATAATTCAAAGATCAGCCCAACTTCCCCACTATTCCCCTGGGATCTGAGAAACCATGACATGCACAGTCCATTCTTCATTTGTCAGACTTATTCAAAGTGCGGGAGGTAGAAGGAACTGTAACCTTCCTGAGTCAACACCTCTACTTGCCTCTACCTATTTTCAGGAGAAGCTAAGTGACTGATCTTCATCTTCTGAGCATTTTTTATTCTTCTCATACAGTATATAGCTATGTTGCCCTGGCTGTAAAAACAAGGTATGAGCATTTTAACTTTACTTTGCAAGGATGTAATAAATCAAACAGTCTGACAAAGGTGTAGTGGGTGTGGTTGTTGGGAGCCGTATTCCATCCACCGTAACACTGATAATCTGTTTGTTATATAGGAAATGGTTTTTATTGGAAGTGCACTTCATCCCCAATCTCTTAAGAATCATTGGAGTGGTGTTGGTGGCAAATCAGGATGTGTGGCATATTGGAATAGGTTTGGGGAGCATTTTCCTGCCTGGGGGTTTATTAGGTTTGGGAAGAATAACATGGATCCCACTCGACTCCTTGGGATTTTCCTCAGTGGTTGGCTGGTCATGAGGATGGGTCTGTCTTCTGATCTGTGATGAAACTTGACCAGTGAGGAATGGATCGTGCATTAGCTTTAGTTTCTCATGACATGTTAGCTCTAATTTTTAATCAACAGTTTCCAGTTTCAGCTTCTCAGTTAGGTCTGCTGTGGGGAAGTTGGGGCTGTTATTTGGATCAATCCCAACCACTGAAGTTAGGGCTTTCTTGGATTCAAAAGCCTGTGAGTTGAGTGGGGCTTATTTGTGTCATTCTTCCAGACTCGGTTATACCTGTAATATAGGACTGAAGGATCACTCCCTCATTCTTATTTATAACTACTTTTGGTCTCTTTACTAGTGACTTTAATTACCAGATTTATAACTTTGGTAACTTCTTGTGATTGGCACTCTGAAACGAAACCCAATACTAGACCTTCCGGAATTATCGACCATATGGTAAACCGTCGTTGGGCCGGGTTCCATTATGACAGCATGCGAAACTGTGGAGTTGTTCAGGTGTTTCGGAACAGCATGGTATACTGTATTTTACAATACGAACAAAGAATGACATAATGTGGCATTTGCCCAAAGTGAAGTAGCAATGCAAATACAGATTCAAAATTCGTTTGCAAAATAATCTTATACCTTTACTAGATCCGCTAATTCTACCAAACATATAATGCATTCCAATATGGCAATTCATCCACTTCCATGATTACTGTGATGTGTGAAACATTTAATATAACATACAGTTTAACTTATCTAGATATACTGACATTTTCCAGTCATATTGTAACAAAGTAATTCAATACTGTCAATGAAATAGCTAATTTCGGCCTACGAAATTAAGTACGAAATTTCTCATATTTGCGAGACAACGGGAATGTTCAGTTGGGAAATCATCAGACCCCACCTGTACGGTAGTTTTTTTGCCGAGTGTACAACTGGCGAATTAATTATGATCATTATATTGTAGTTTTTCTTCAACCAGTATACTTTGGGTCAACGTGAGGGTTGCAGTGTAGAATAAGAACCCTTTTCGGTGTGTTTTGTGTGTCGAGGTTGAGGCTGTTACTTGTTGAAGATGTGGTTCTTCTAGATTTCTAAATGGTGAATCAATTACTATGTGCTGTATTTGCTGTCTAAAATAATAAGGCTCTTTTTCTATTGTAGGTTCACCATCCGGGCTTGAGTCGGTATTTTGATTATTTTGATGGAGCGCAGTACATTCCTCGTCCATGGTTGCGAGCGGTGTATCCTAGGGACTGATGACACTCTACCTATAAGCAGCCACTGAGTTTCCACAAAGTTGGCAAGATTCTGCTTAGTTTTAAAATTTGTGAAGGGGAAACAACTATTATAGTTAGTTGTTCTGGCACCTTTATGGGAAGGATATTATTCCATGGGTGGTCCTTGTGCCACTAGTCAAGTTTGTGTGTTTTTTTTATGATACTGTATTAAGAAATGTTTTATTGTTAAGGTCTTTATTATGCATTAGGAAATACTGCAGTCTATTTTTAGAGACAGTGTGCTCCAATCTGTGATAAATATGCATGAATGTATACATGATATTGTAACTGAAGAGAAAATATTGTAAACATAGTAAATACCAAGATAGAGAAATGTGCACGTATAGAATATAGTACAGTAACAATAAAAAAAATCCCTAAAATATACATCATGAATATCCAGGCATGTTTTGAAAATATTTTAATGTCGTAGTTGGATTGTATTCACCTACACTGAGAGAATTTTTAAAACCTTGCAGTAAGTGGTTTTTTTTAATGATTATAGATATTTTTTTGTGCTGAATCGAAAGCTGATGGATGACACTTGCCTCTTTTGAACACTGTGAGATGCTTTGACTTTTAACACCCACGATAATAATATTGATAATAACTTTTATTCAAGAAAATTGTCATAGAGGCTTACAATTGGATACCTAGTTATATAGTATATAAACTAGGCAGGTTATAGGTATACAATTCAGCATGAATATAGACAATGTAGGTATATGGTGCATGTAGGCCGTGGGAGGACAGTACAGTATACAGTACAGTTTCCTATGTACAGTAGCTAAAAGAACTATCTGTGCATACTTTGTGGGAAACAAAATGAGACCATGGATGATAAATATTGGTATGTGAGGGCTGTCACTAGTCACACTTAAGATTTCGGAGCATATCGACCCCCACCTGCAAAGATAGTTGTTTTAGCTACTGTACCTAGACATTGCAGGTATACAACACTGGTAAACAATTAGGCAATTAGACCAAGGATAGCCAACAAAGCTGTTAAGTGCTTATACTGTATTGTATCGCCTCCATATTATTATTTTTTCTCTTGTAGGATGTTAAGCCTATGTTCAGGGACAGAGAGAAAATTAAAGAAATTATTGTTGTAGATAACATTGAGAAGTTTTGGGCAACTTTATGGATGTATGGCTGAGGTTGTGAGGCTTCAGCTCTTTACTACAGTTTGTGTAAGGAAATTGTAAGTACTATTGAGTTTAGTGGTGAACAGCTATTAAACCACACACACAATTTGTTATAATTTGGAAAATGAATTTCACCTTGGCAGAATGTGTAGTGAGAGTTTAATTACTGATACAGCCCAATGATTACTACAGTACAGTATTATATTTTTAGCTATCTATTTTTATTCATCATATCACCACTTATCAGCTTACTAGCCATTCAGAAAATTGGTTTCTTCTTTGTTACTTTCTCATGATCTTTATTGTCCAGTGTTAGGACAGTCGGAAACCAGAGTACTGTAACATGGAGAAAACCTGCGGTATTTGGTAGGGTCTTACTGGATAACACCCTTCTCACATCTGACCTGAGCAGGGGATTGAACCCTGTACACAGTGACCAGGGGTTAATATAAGGCCTTACTGCTCCACCTGTCATACCACCTGATGAAGCAAGTTAAGTCATGAATGTTATGAGATAACAGATGTAGGAAACAAGTCTTAAGATATAAAAAATTATCCAGCTATACTTGTTACTCTGAGACTTAAAAAAATATGTTCAGATATTTATGTATGGAAGGTACCTAATCCCACATTTTGGGACTGGGGGATAATGTTTTCTTTAATTCCATATGCAGTATAAAGCTACCTGTATGTACAGTACAGTACAGGCAGTACTGTATTATCAAACTGCATTGTAAGGTACATATCTAATTTATTTATTTACCAAGAAAGCATACAGTATATATTTTGACACCAATTTGATCATTATATTTTAAAGTTAATGCAGAGATGTAGGTGTTTCTTTATTAGACAACCTTCTTGGATTTTTTTTTTTTTTTTTTAGGATACACAAGGAAATCAAGAGGCAAATATTTTCTAAAGTTATCGTATTTAAACGATTAATAAATTAGTCCTTTATCCATTTTCTAATAATGGATTAACATTTATTGTACCTTGAACATTTGACAACAGGTAGATGGCATTAATAACATGTCTGGGGGGTTTGGGTTCTTAGCTCAAAATGTCTCAGGTTGCCGATGGGGGATAAGTGGCATTGATTAGATTTGGATTCAGCACAAAAAAAAAAAAATATAACCAAAAATGATAGCCATCTTTAAATGAGCACTTCCTTAAAAACTGAATGTGTTTTGCTTAATTGGTAATTTGGGTAAGAAAAGGCATCGGACCGTAATCTTAATTTCTAACTAATTCTAAGGAGAGTAAGTTGGTAAGGTAGAACAGTTTGTTAGACCAAATATTAAGCATTTTCATTGCTCAGGTCATTCCCTCCTATTTCATTCTTTAATTTTGCTGTGATTGTGATAATACAGTACAAGTACAGTACAGTACAGTACTGGAGTGAAAGTTCTGACATTCTCTCACCCTTATCACTAAAATTTAATCGTACATATTTGTCCATAATATATAATGTAATTTTTGCATCTCACCTTTAGTCTGTAACTCATTATTAAGTTCAGTATTTATAAAGATGAGAAATAGTCTCAGGTAACTCTCCTTATGCTGTCGATGTGTCATCATCTTAGCTACTGTGGCTGCATTGTTGGGTGAATGTTACTTTGCATTAAGATTTGATTTTTCATGAGTGATATGGTTGTGGGAAGGTTGCTGGCACCTTATCCATGATATGTATGGTGTATGGGACCCACTTTATCTTCATTGCTCCTAACAAGCTTCCTGGTGTATGGGACCCACTTTATCTTCATTGCTCCTAACAAGCTGCCTGGTGTATGGGACCCACTTTATCTTCATTGCTCCTAACAAGCTGCCTGGTGTATGGGACCCACTTTTTCTTCATTGCTCCTAACAAGCTGCCTGGTGTATGGGACCCACTTTTTCTTCATTGCTCCTAACAAGCTGCATGGTAGGACCCACTTTATCTACATTACAGGGTACTCCTAACAAGCTGCCTAGTGGGACCCACTTTCACCTTCACAACCAGTTTTAATGTGTGAGTGAAATTAACTGCATGTTCAAATTTGGTCTTTCATTATCAGTATTGAAGAAGATGCACTTCACATCCTCAGTACTCGTACATAAAAAGTTATTAGTTTTATATTGTGCTCACCCAGGGGAGAATGTCCCCAAGAACTTTCTTATTTTCTGTTGTAAATGTGTCTCAGACTCTTTAGGGAGGTATTGCCTTTCTTGTGTTGGGTGATAAAGGGAATATTTAAGTTGACTACTTTAAAGAATTGTTTTTTTTTGGTTTTTGTTTTTTTTATTGAAATGTGATGACTGTTTTTCACAAAGCCAAAGCACAAGATTTCAACAATGTTAATGTAATAATGTTTGTACAAATATATTTTCGTCCATACCTTTTTGGAGTTTAAATAAAACCTTGCACATTTATCTGTATAATATGTTTGCAGACTTCTTTAGCAAAATTTACAGTGTTATCACAGTACTGGACCAGGTCCGGTTCTCAGTGTCCAGGGATGAATTACTGTACTGTTGACATTATAAAGGCTGCCACTCCCTTTGAAAAATTATGAAAGGCAGATTTACTGTTCTGATGACTGATGAAGTGTGTTCCTTAAGTATGGTGTACTTAAAGTTTATAATGACATAAAAGTATAACTGTGGCTAATTGTAAATGAGTGATGCCTCCTAGAAACAAGATTTTAATATCTATGTTTCTGAATTATACTTAAGGGTATTGACACTTTGTTCTGAGGAATTTTGCAAATGTACTGGATTGAGGTCAAGTCATTTATACCATACTCGTATTTCTTACTGTACTGTATACAGTTTATCTCTTGTCTTTTCTTATTCATAATATTATAGTGATATCCTTGTTAGCTGGAATAATTAGTGCAAAGTTCTTTCAGGAATAAGAAATTTCCGGGTAAGGAGACTTACTCTCTCAAACCCGGAAAATTCCCACATCCCTGGAATTTTTCTGGGTATTGGAAAAAGTTTCTCTGTATTCTCCGGAAATTGCTCATTATTTCATCCACGGAATTTGCTCCCAGACCCGGAAAAAAAATTGGAGAGACCCCGGAAGTTTTCTTAAAATTTTCCTCCGGAGTATGCACCTGATTTTCAACCTCAGAAACTCATTCGCAGACCAGGAATTGAGAGAAGGGGTTCATGTAGCGTCACAGAAGTGGATGAGGGCTCGTGACAGCAGCTGGGTCCACGACAGCAGCAGGGTGCAGGACATTAGCAGGGAGTACCTAAGGGAGAAAAGAGGGGTGTGTGGGTCCGCACTCAGGCGCATGGGCCGCGTCGGGAGCAGGGGCTGCATCAGGAGGAGCGGCAGGGGGTACTGCTGGGCCGGGGGCGGCGTCTGAGGCAGGACGGGTGTGCTGGGGTCGGTAGGACGTGGTGCTTGGGGCAGGAAGAGGAGCTGGTTGGTGAGGATGCTCAGAGGAGGACAGCTTGTGGGTCGCCATGCTCTCCGGCGGGAGCGAGGACCGCCAGGCAGGCGGAGGAGGAGGAGGTGTTGCTGGCTGGTTAGTGTAGGTAGAAAAGAGAGAGGTCACCACGAGGTCAGGTCTTTTATAGCGGAGGTAAGGCGTGGGTAGATAGTTGACCCCCGCTCCGTGGGCGGCTCTGGTTGACCTAGACCACGAGGCACACACTGGAATTCGCGGGGTCGGCTACTCAGCGACAAACAGCGTTTGTAGGGGAGAAATCCACTACAACTTATCAGCTGACGAAAACTGAACGAGATCTCTACGGTTTCCACCTCCCCTCTCTCTCAGTCTCTCTCTCTCTCGTCATTACAGTTTAATGTTTTTTTTCCGCGGAGAAAATGATGGAAGCTGAAATTCCGGACTTTTGAAGAATTTAAAAATTTCCTTCCGGATGAAGATTTGGAGACCTAAATGGAGGACATGTCCGGGAAAACACGGACGTATGGCAACCCTAGAGGACATGGAAGAAGGTAAGTACAGTACAGTACAGTATATGATTCAGGATTTGTTGTATAGGTCATGTAACTATTTATCTTGCATTCATATTTTTTTGTATGCTATGAAAAACGTATACAGTACAGCAGATAAAAAATACATACATAAAAACTTTCAGACTTCTTTAGTATTCAATAAAGTCGATGGGTTGCTTTATATAAAATGATTGTCACGTTATCCAGTCATTACAAGCCATAATGCTTGAGCTATATTGAACAAAATTATTCTTGCATGACTTTCAGCGGTGCAGTCATTTGCTTTGATGAAGAATAATGTCCAACTTATCATGATAGTATACAACATTATTGTAAATGCGTGAGAGTAATTTGATGATAGTACCAAACGAAATAAGGGAATTATTATGAAATGTGAAGATATGATGTGGAGTGTTGATTAACTGAACACGATATATGAATGATATTGAGACGTGTAGAAAATGAGATATGATAAGAAAGGGGAATGATAAAACAAAGAATGGAGAGTGAAATTATAATAGAAAATATATTGATAAAAAAATCTACAATTATTTGTCTTATTTGGTATATGTGATTTATTCAACTGTGGATTCTGTTTTTAGTGTAGATAAACACCGAATCTTAAGTACATTAACCTGGCCTTCTGCACATGTCTCTACCTGTATGTTCATCTATCATTACCCTCTGTACAGCCAATATATCTTTTTGTGCCGATACACTG